AATGAGATCGTCCGATTCGTTAAGCGACTTCGAGCGAGTCGCTCTCGATACCAATCCGGATATTTTAAGGGCATACACTCGCCGCGTGCTACATCTCGCTCGTGTCGAGCGCGAGCACCAACGTATATTTTAAGATTAGGTCTTACGCGTTACGCAACGCGTAGCGAGAGAGACGCGCTGGCAGCGGCATAGCTGCGGGATGCAGCCGCGGGATGACGTGAGCAGATATCGGCTATTAGCCGATCTCTTTGGGCTCGCCAGGAGTGGGCACTTGACGATCGATCGTACACCGACCGGCGACTTGTGGCATTTTCCAAACGACGCCACTGACTCTCCACCGGAGAGCTTCTTGTAGTGTCCCATTAATTTTCGAACACAAACGTATTCGTTCTGCGATCGCGCTGATTCTCGCTCGGAGAAGCAGGTTCTTCCTCTGCATCGGCCGCGGCAGCGCCACTCGTTTCCAGCGGCTTCTCGTTCTCGCGAGCGCATTTCATACCGCGCGCTAATTAAATGCCCCGACAAATCCGAATCTGATTTGCATTGCTAATCGTATGTACTGCACTTCGTTACACTTGTAACATTATCTGGAATTGTGAGCGATACACCCCTGTGTCTTCTACAACGCCGGGGAACGTCGACATCTGTACGCTCATTTCGCTAAATCGTTCCTCTGCGAACTTAATTTGAAGGCGCGGGATTACAAATGACAATGCACGAATACTTGTATCTCTAATTAACAAATCTGTTGAGAAACATTAAACTTTTGCCAGATTGGCAACGTTTTTAACGGACGATCTTTCAAAGATTTGTTTTCTCCGACATTGACATGAGAGTAAAAATTCATAGAAATTATCGATCGATTTTAATCCTTGCGAGACGCGCCGTTCTAAACGTCATCGTCGTTGTCAGGGCATCGCGCATCGGCGGGTATCGAGCGATGCTAGAGGAGCGATAAACGGGAACTAGTTTAAGTCCGGCTCATTCTGAGCTACGCTCCTGAGCAAAAAGATGAGAGGAGAGACGAAGGAGAGGGTGAGAGTCATTTGGATGCGAACGCATAGCCCGTTGAAAGATGCAATTGGACGATCGGAGCAAGGCGCGCGGAGAAAGACGGGAGAAAGATGAAGAAGAAGAAGAGAGAGAGAGAGAGAGAGAGAGAGAAGATTCATCGGTGCAATAGGAGGATGCACCCGGCGCAATTGCATCGGCGTACATACGAGAGAAGAAACGCCATCGGGAGGGGCGAGTAGATAAGTTTTGAAAACTGCGCGCCGCGCGCGCTCGGCTCATAAATCAGGAATCGCCGGACGTGCGGGATGGATCCTCTCCCCCTCCCCCCCCCACCCGTACCTCGCGGGGAAGTATCCCGCAGGAAGGACGCGGCCTGCGCGGCCGCCGCCGTCGTCGTCGTTCCGCACTCGTATGGAAATCGAAATTATGCCACGCATACGCGGCGGGCAATTATGCGAGCGTGCCTCTTTCGAACGTGGAACGAAGAAGAGCATCACCGCCGCGCGAGTTGATTAATGAGAGCAGCGCTGCGTTTCATACGTTACGCGCCTGCGAGGCGATATCAATACCCGAGAATAATGAAATCGCTCTCGCGAACGGGATTGATTCGAGATGATTTGTTGTCAGTGCGATCTCAATGGTCGATACGACCCGATGATCGCCGGCCGCGCTTAGAACCAGGATTGGAACCAGAGGGACGAGACGATCGTCCAGACAAGATCAAGTCTACCAGATTTGTGTCGATAACACCATCGGTAAATATAGCGTTGTTAATTCGCCAGCGCAAACACACGGAGGAAAAATGTGCGATGAATTAGGGGGGGGGGGACGTCGTCTCGTTCCTTTCTAAAAGCGAGTTCCATAAATTTATTTTTTAAAAGTGGTAGCACGTGAAATGAGAGACTCCCGCGTAAAGAGATGTTTAAGGTACATCCCGAAGTGACGCTTCGGGTAATTAAAGTAATTTGCAAGTCGAGTTTTCAAAGTCTTCGGACGCTCATCGTAAATTCGCAATTTGCTATGCTTAATTACAACCGCGTGTGCAATAATCGCGAGCATCTAGTTCGCGGGTGCGCGCGCGTTTTCTTGAATATATCGGGGCGTAATGCCGATTAATGGAGGAACTGGTTTCATAAATTTCGCGACGAGTTATAGAACGGCGAGTTATAGAACGCTGGACGTTCGCCGAACGATTCGAAATGATTCCTGAAGACACTCGGGTGATCGGTGTCGCACGATCGTGGCTACGTGGCTCTGTTGGGTACGCGTACGCGTGCACGAGGCAATCACGTAGATTGGACAAAAATTGTAATGCGAGGTGCATTGAAAGTAGATACAATCTTAAAACTTGCACGCAATCGACTTGCTCGTAAATCAGAAAACGCGTAACGCGACGCAGAGAGAGCGTTCCTGGTCTGTGCGGCTCGCGATCACGGGATACGTTGTAGGACACGAAATTGTATCTGTCTAATTATAAGTGCGCTTTCTTACATAAAATGAATCCGTCGATTTTTCCGTTCGGAACCAGTATTGATTAATGAGCACACGACGCCGACGCGGTCGCGCGGTTACATCGCGAATGGGCAATCGAACTTTAAATCGAATAGCGCATAGATTAATTACAAGCTTTAGACGAGCAGAATATTCCTGCTATATGAATGAAGATAAAAATTCAATATTTATTTACTCGAGCGAAAACAGTTTTATTACGAGAACCAGTTTTATGACCTTGTCGATTTAAAAAAAAAATCGCATACGCATACAGCATACAGCATATAAGGTATAATGACGTAATAATTTTACAAAAATATGTCGCTCGCGGTTTGTGGGTGCACAATTATACGTTTTATCATTGTAAACTCTTGAAATGTCAAGAGCGTAAAACGATGCCCGGAGTAAAATCGACGCGGAGTAAAATCGACGTGGGTTCGCTCGCACTGTCGCACCTTTCTCGCCTCTCGCACTCGCGAGCGTGACACCTACGCGTCTTCGCAGCGCTCGCCCTTATGGAAGAAATCAATTTACCCGTATGTCGTGCGCACGTAGATCTCGCCGTTAAATTAAGGAACGGCCGTGATTAACGAGGGCGTGCCTCGCGAACGCGGAGACCACACGGTCGATTAAGAGGACCGCGCTCTCGGTTTCGCAATTGAAATTGATTCGGGCAATCCGCGGGGGGGGGGGGACTCGACGAATATAACGCGACTGATGCGGAATATGCGCGCGCGGGACTCGTCCTGTAATTGCACGAGCGCGCAATCTGCGGAATCTCGCCGCGGCGCGGCGATAGAAAAGGGACGAGCAAGTTTCTAAAAGTGATACGAGACCGGCCCATAAATCAATACACCGCCGTGGAGATGCGCGGCCTTTTTTTTAGAATAAACGAGCGCGAATGCGAACGCGATGATTAATGGCGTTGCGACCGCTCGTTCATAAATTTCAGGACGAGGGGTAAACGAATGAATTGTCGGTGGATACGAACGACTTGATTCCGATTGAGCGAGAGGCGAGATGAGAAAGAGAGGGAAGGCAGGGGAAGCCAGCTTGTGCGTGACAATGAACTTGACTCTACTTTTACATCGACTAATACCAACATTATTGTAATCTTATTTATTTATGCGTATTTACTTATACATAAGTAAATTTAAGTTTTACTCGATGTTATCCCATTCAAGATTTTATTTGAGATATATATTTCTTTATCCATTGCCATTTATCATTATTTATAATGTAATCTAAATTACATGTTTTTTTTCATTTATGATTATTATCCTAATTATATTACTAAAAACGAGTTAACACAGAAGTTGGTGAATTCCTTATATATATATATATATATGTACTTCTCGGTAATTACACGAATGTTATGTCGCTTCGTGTCTTGAGAAAAGATAAAGATTATCGTACAGATCTCTGGATTGCATTTTTATTCGCACGAAGTCATTTACAATCGCGCTATTTATATAACTTCATTACCCTCCGTGAAAATTCCGCGTTATCGAGAACTTATAACGAGAAATTATAACGCTCATTTACGGTAACTAAATGGTAATGAGAAGATGTATTCCCTCGCCGAGTAACCTGTGCCGATGTCAACGGGTATCGGATCCGCGTTTAACGTATCTTTACTATTATCTTTACAATTGTATCATACACACAGGCATAGAAACTTCTTATCCGGAATTTTACGCGAGAGTTATTCTTTAATTCGATATCTCTCTATTCCGTAGTGTACACAAATAATTACCTATATATAGTTTAATTACCTATATAAAGTTTAATTGTACGATATATAGAGAGAAGAGATATAAAATTTTTAAAGGGAGTCTTATAAAAATTATCGATCACTACGGCTTTATGTCACTGTCACTTACACGAGGAGAGTAAATTAACGTCAGTCTCCCCTCCTATCCTGTTATGTAACTTTCCTTTGAACAACTTAACGACTTTCCTGCATACCGCAGGATTATTTCAGTCACGCATCTCGATGCGATATGACTGAAATATCACCAGTTTTTATGACCAGCGCGATGCATAGTAATTTTTCAACTTACAGTTTCGTAAAATCGTCTCGGTATGTTGTTCACCTCGACACGATTCCGCATCCTCCCGGTCGAAGCTCGTTTGTTGCTTGTTAAGAATCGATTAACATGATATCGTCACTGTGTCCATTGACACATTGGTTAGACACACATGTCCGGTTAGACGCATTATCTATCTAGTCCAGAGAGACAAGCTAATTTGTACTAATAGAATTGTGCTATTTCTGTGTCCATGAAGTTCAGAAGATCACTTTTCTAAGTTTCTTCTTACGTAACATCGGTAACACATTTATCTTCTACATTTAATTGTATATTATTATTATTATTATTATTTTCTTATGATTTTTTTTTTTATACTTTTATATCACACTCTTTGTTCTATTATATTTGACATGACTAGATAAAACGTTGTAAAATATGATGTAAATAATGAATTGAAGTTATTAGCAGTGATATCGATATAATAATTCTAGCACTCGAGGTATAAAGTAATATAAATAGTTGTCGATATCTTTTCACAGAATTTCAGAATATTTACAAAAAAAAAGTAGAGCAATCACAAGCACGCATGCATGTGTGCTGCGCGCTTATGAAGATCCACTTTCCAAGCGGCACTTGGAAAGTCGTTTCTTTGACGCGTTTCATCGTGCTTTTTTAAGATGCTCTCGGCTCACACGATACAAAGGACTCCCGGTCTTGGAGGCAGCCCTCGCGCTGTGAAATCGCACGTGGCTCGCAAAGAAAAAAGAAACGTAGCCCCGACGATGAGACGGCTAATTAAGTCTAGTGGCCCGCGAGCAAGCTCGCACGCGGGCACACGCACGTAAGCGCACACGCACACGCCGGTCTTGAACCCGCGTGCACGCATTAATACGCACCTACACGTTGCACGCCTCGTCTATACTTGGCCTCTTGGCCGTGCCGAGGCGTACAGTCTCTCAAAGGTCCTCGAGTGCATCGTATCATCGGCGCTTTTCCCTGTCTGCTGCTTTCTCTTTCTCTCTCCCCCTCTCTCTTTCTCTCGCTTTATCTCTATCTCTCTCTCGCGTCACATCTTCGCTCGTTGCCGCCTCTCGCGCTCCGTATATTTATCTTCGTCCCCGCGATACGATACGGACCGCGGATCGCGAAGCAGAAACAGTGCACTCTTTCATCGGATCGGCCGCGATGCAACGCGGCGACGCCGGGCATCGCATCGCGAGAGGCAGCGCGGAAGTGGCAGTTCGCTCTCGATAGAGCGCCGTGGTACGAACAAGCCCAAGAGTGTGCCCCACCGTGTCCGGGGATGTTCTCGGGATAATAACGACTCGCCCGAGGGAAGGAGAGACTTGCCTCTCGAGAGAGCGATCTCGAGAGAGTCGCCGTCTCTCGTTGAACGTAACGCGCGCGATGCCCATCCGGGCGCGCGAGTGATCGGTGAGAAAGATGTGGTTCAAATATCACAAGGGATATTACGACGTGCGCAAGCTGGAGCTGGAGCTGGAGCTGGTGAGTGTCAATACGTGCGAATATGCACTCGTCGGTACCGCACGAGAGAAATATCGATTAACTTATTTATCTGAATTTATTTTTCCCTTTCTCTCTCGCTCGCTTCCCTTTCTCCTTACGTAGTTAAATTAGGGATTTTTATTATTCGCAAATAATATTAATAAAATATTTTTTCTATGCATGATTTCTTTTAAAAAATGTTTATCAAGTATTTTGTTTGTAACTTTACTATCTATCTATTTTTTTTTTTATCGTCTAAATAATCGTTAACGATTTTTTCGAAGATACATCAAGGGCGTCGTAATCTCGAGATAATACACTATTTACAGCAAGATACTACGATATAAACTAAATGGCAATTCTTAGGTATGATAAACTACTTGTAAATTTAAGTTTTTAGATGAATTCAGTTTGTCATATTATTCTTATCTTTTTCACGGGTTGTAAATATTTTTTATGAGCGATCCTTCGAGAGCCGGCAGATATAACAAACAGTTCGGACAGAGGAGCATACGACGAAACGTTTGCTTATGAGAATATGCAATTAAATCGATTTGACACAATGCAATGGACTTTCACCTTGGATTTCTTCGTGGATCGTCTCGTCTCGTCTCGTTTATCGAATTTTTTGAAATTCCTGCGCCGTTCCGTTCCACAGACTCCTATCTATCTCCTATACGACTCTTCTTGAGTTCTTGAGAGGCGGGGAGAAGTCGCTAGCCTCGTGCGAGAGTTTACTGAATGCGTGCATTATGTCGCGTTCTTCGTGATCGAGGCGAGCGATGCTACCCTCATTAAATGGAACGTTATCCCGATCTGCACTTTAGCAACAATTTACAACTGCAGCTATCGTGGAAACGTTTGAACATTCCATCGTACGGAAAAAAATAGTTTGTTGATAGCATATCGAGCTTTGTCGCAAAGCTTTGTCATTTATTATACGAAGGGTAAAGTGAGATCTTCGTAATTCGCTTTCTTAGTACGAAGCTTGTTAAAAAACGAATAATTAAATATTTGGAATTTTATAATTTATGTTTAGACTTATTTTATATATATATATATATATTGAATTAGAAAATTGAAAAATTTATTTTATATTGTGAGCTACGCTAGATTTTGTAATAATATATATTTGGTTGTTTTTCGTGGTTATTTCATGGTTATTAGAAAGCAAAATGCAGGTATATTTGTGACATAAACTTTTACCAATCGGATCTAATTTCCGACTCAGCCTCAGATTAGGTGGTCCCTAGTTTAGGCTTATCCGGTCTCAGCTTGGCGACAAATCTAATCGCTACAGTCGATGTCCATTTAGCCATATACCATACAATTTTCCTGCCCAATGGCGCTATCTTGCCCACTCTTGGACTTCTTCCAGTCCAAAGTCTTGTCTCCTCGTCGTGTTTTTCCTCGCGCCGGGACACACCGACGTAGTCCTCCATTCGTCGTTTCCTTCTGCTTCTTCGTCGTCGGCTCGTTCCGTCGCGCGTCCCGACGTTCCACTTATCTCGCTTCTATTTCGGCGGTGATTTCGTGCTCGACGTTCTCGCGACGACGCGTCCAAGATATCCTCCAACGGACTAATAAAAGAAAAAAAAATCCTGCATCCGGCCTGCTACTTTGGAGTGGCAAAGCGAGAGTGAGTAAAGATGACTAGAATTTTCAATAAGTCCCTTTTCTCTGTATGTCATTAACTCTGCAATAGTCGCTTTTATTCAGTTCTCTTTCTTTAACACACACGGGACAGACGAGAAGTGTTATTTAAAATTTATACACATACGTATTTACTAATGTTTTATAATAATAATTCCCTGAAATTGGAATACGTTTTGTATTGTATCTTCCGTCTTCTGCTTTTCCATATGGCGCACTATTGAGAAAGGACTACGAAGAATCCGCTGGAAGAGTTCAACTTGACGTATCTCAGTCAAGTGTAGCTCAGCGTGGAAATTTTCCCTGGAACGTGCAGTAAATTTAGCCGGTAGTCTTCGCATGGCGTTTACGACGCGGAAGTTGGCCAAGCGCTTCAAAGAAACGGCGGCGGCAGCGGCGCGAGCGAAAAGCGAATGCCCGAGCATTTGTATGCTATCGTGACAAATGACTCGTATCGGTTACGTCCTCGACATGTAACCTGTTCTACAAGGTGTCCCAATAATCTGCGTTAAATGTGCTCAGCGGTATTTCAAGAAGTCACAGATACAGAGATTAATTCAATCGACAAAACATGATAAACATCACATCATTGTTTTTACATTTCTTACTACATTTTCTGTTTTTAATTTCTTTTTCCATTACAACGATTTATCCTCCGACTTACATTTTATACGTATTAGATGCGCGTATTTGATTATACTTAGGGAATTAAATGGATGATTTAAATGGATGCTGCGAGAAGCATCGAGGCGTCATCTGCTTCAACACTTTTTGTCTTTTCTATTCCGTCTGAAGTCCCGGATCTAAGTGCATCTTATCTTGAGACGTTTATTTATACCGGGCACGTTTAAGGAGCGCGCGCCACGTTTATAGAATCGCCCTGTACGTATTCTCGTATGTCGGAGCGTAAATATAAAGTGGGCGATTTGGCGCCTGGTCAAGAGACCGTCTACGAATGTGTCCGACGATATTCTGGATTCCGCGAAGAGACGAGAAGGGGGATCCCACGCAGATCACGAAGAAGTAAGGAGAGAGGGGCCGAAGACCGCATGTTGCACACAACCTGTGTTTGAAGTTATTTCGAAAACTGGCCCAGGTGCATTGACCCGCAATGTATTTCTCCACATTCGGTCTACCGATTGTCTTCTCTCTCGGGCATTGTCATCTGAGAAATCGACGTATCTGGATTTACAGAACAAAGAAAATTTTTAGTAATTCTCAGAAAAATACGGATCTATTCATGTCTAATCATGTACCATGATTTGCCTAAATTATGATGATTCGAACAGTAAAATTTTGCATCGGCAATTTAAATACATATACATTTTAATTTAAGCAAAATTTATTAAGATTACGGATTTAAATTAAACAAACGAGTAAATTGACACACGAATGAACGACTTTGTTCATTGTGTCATTTATTGTCGTTATAGTTATTCGTTCGTACTAATTTGCTTAGGAAAATTTTACGTAGGAAAATTTTAAAAATTGGAATTTTATTTATAATCCTTTAATAATTTATTCACAATGAAAGGTTACAATATAAAAATGAATTAAGTAAAAACGTTCTGATCGTCATGATAAATTGATTGATTAAGTCGATCCGTGTCACATGTTCAATTCAGAGTATCGCAGGGTGTTATTAAAGTTCATGGAAAATATGGGCTAGAAGTATATTCTCGGATGACACAGAAATCCTGCTATAACTCAAACACGTCGCTTCTTCGTAATAGGAAGATAAGGTGTCGTAAGATCACATCAGCTGGCGTTCCTTAAACGATGACTAAAGGCCGTCCTGCGCAACCAGACGTCGGCAAGGTCGTTGTTCGACCCTTCGTAAGCTTTTATACAGGAGGACCTTTCTTAAGGATGTGAAACGCATGCTCGTTAAAGGCGCCAGTCGCTTTCAGCAGCGACCGCATTGCGGGTACCGCGAGCGTTTATGAACGCGAATATATAATCGGGCATCGTCATCGTGCACCATAAATGCGCTTTAACGCGATAATCCGCGATAGAGGTTCGCCCGTATTATTCAATGTCAATGAGTCCGCGAGAGAGAAACGCTGCGTTAACTACACATGGACGCACCGACAAACGAATTGCCAGTCGAATTGTAGAAACAAATAATAGGATAATTGGCAATTTTAGCTTGAACGGAAAAATAAAGCTCGCATGGGCGGTCACGATTCATAATTAGCATTTTAGAAAAATTCTAAGGATAACATGCAGCTAATAATAAAAGAATAAAAGCGAATAATAAGAGAAATATTTAAGGAATTTTTTTAACACAATCGTTCAGATTGATTTTTCCACGGATATCGATTGTTTCCAATCGTAAGGCATCGACATTACGTACGATTTTACGTAATGAGAAAGGAATTTTTTTATGGAGTAATTTTACAATTTTATGACGAAAACTGTCGTAATCGCGATGGAATATCCTTGCGCGCTCACGAAATGGGAAAGATCGCGTCGGCGCAGCGATTCCCCGCATATTCTGGAAATTGTTTCCGCATGCGGCAAACGAGAATGATGAACGATTTCGCGCCCAAGGCGGCGTGTTTCCCGAGAGGTGACACGCTATCGCGCCGTCATAATTTTGCCGCTGAAATTCGATACGCACGCGATTAAGCGCATCGTATGCGTATCGCGCGACTCCGGCGACAACGACGGCGGCGACGATGACGACGACGACGACGACGACGACAATGACGACGGTGATTCTATTTGTCCACGCTAATTTCCGCGTAAAGCCGCAATCGAAGAAGCCACGTTTCGTTTATCAAGAACCGCACCTGTTCGTGACGAATGAGGAATCATTCCTGGAGACGCGAATAGGACAGGAGGAGGAGGGATGGAGGAGAGGGAGAAGATCGCGAAGCGGAAGAAGAGAAGAAGAAATAAGAAATAAGAGTAGAGAGAAGCGCTTGCAGAACGGCGAGAGAAGGGTGAGGAAGGGAGAGAAGCGAGAAGCCAGTGCTGCCTTCGGTATCTCTTCGTATGCGTTTCCTGGTAAGGCTCTTGGCGATCTTTAAAGTTCTCGCTGAGGAATCAAGAGAGGCTCGTTGCCGGAAAAAGAAGAAAAGACATGGAGAAAGAAAACGGCGGGAGAGAGTAAATTTCTCTCCCTATCTCGGAATATCGGTTATATATCGGGATGCGAATTACGGTGGCTGCTAGTTCCTTTGCACGATCGGAAGTGAAGAATGTTTGTTGAATTTTATTTTCCACTTTAAGTTTACCACTTTGCTGCGGTTGCTAGAATTTCAGTCTTGATGTCTTGGTTATCGAAATACTTGATGCTGACAATCGGGAAATCGTGAGGGAAGAAGTTTACTGAATCCTTT